TAGGAACCAAGGGGCCGAATCCACGACGGCACCAACGCAAGAAGCGACAGAGCTCATGGCGCGGGGTTCTGGTCCAGAAGGCTGACCACACTGTCCAAACACAGTCCTAATGGAACATCGCTTGCGGCCAGAAGTCGCGGCAAACGGAGCGTGGTCTAGCAGAAGCCAATCATCACACCAGCATTGGCATCATCACCAACATCATGGTCGTTTTCATCTCCATCGTATTCGTCGCTATCTTCATGGTTCTCGAAGGTGTCGTCATCTTCAACGTCACCAGCAGCATGATTCTCATCATCAGCATCCTCATCAGCATCACCACGTCATCATCATCATCATCATCATCGTCATCATCATCGGCAGCATCATCAGGTTTATTCCTGATTTTCACTGTCATCATCATCATCATCATCATCTTCTTCTTCTTCTCTTCGCCGCCAATCAGGACCGCCATCAATATCATCATGAACATTACCGTCGGTTCAATCATCTCTACTCTCACGCACCATCACCATCAGCAGGATGGTCAGCACCTCCTTCACCCTGACAGCCAAGAGAAGCGACAACACCCCCAATTAATATCATGCTACAGAACGGTTGATGACGATAATACCAAGCAAGTCAGCTCAACAGCTCGATTTCTGGGTTTCCGCACGTGGCTATGGCGCGGGGCAACGTCTTCAATGCCGACATGGCCGACCCCATCCTGTGGCGATCGTGAGCATCGAGCCCGTCCACAACCTATACGACCTAGAAATGGATTCAAAATATACTCGGGACGAACGTTTCTCTGTGAGACCGCAGTATCATTGTCTCACTATCCTTCACCAAGTGGAACCGGTCCACATGCTAACTGCTGCCTGTGCGGGTGGTAGCAGCACTGCCGAAAAAACAACTGTGAGACGGGAGGATCTGTTGCAGCGAGAGGTGGAGGAAGGGAGGAATCGATCTGTTGGGGGCTCTGATCCAGTGCACGGATGCTTTGGAGAGGGCGGCTCCGGGTTGGAAGGATGAGTATTCTGATATATTATGGTCATCCCTACTGTTCTGTGATTATTACGATTACCAAGTTCAATCACTACTGCTATTATTAGCAATAGTAGTACTCCTTATTGTCCTGATGCTCCCGACTATGACAGCTAATGTTGTGAGCCGTCGCGACAACGAGTGCTTGCGTTCTCTTACGTACGTCGACATCTATCGACCCCACATGCCGTAGGCTACCGTGTCGAACCTCTTGCACCGGAGCACTACTATATCTCGTCAGTGCTTGTTCAGCAAGGACCGCTTGTGTTGAAGAGCAAGCTTTACTTTACCGAAGCACTTCTGATTGTAGTTAGAATGCCTGGGCACCTAGCGGGAGGATAGAATTTCGAGTGTCAAAGGTGGGTTCTCTCACATCTTTGGCTTCTCTGTCCCCAACGGCCAGAGCGGCACTCTCAGTATCGGAAGAGCCCAGTGTCCGTAGTGCAAAGGCCTGAACACAACAGCCGAAGCTCTACAAGCCATGGTCCTGGTCGAGTGCCTTCCACAAGGCTCCTTGGTCTACGCCTTGGCAATCTGTAGGGCAAATGCGTATGGAGGGTTCCTTCGGAATAGACTACGTATTGAAGCAGGAGCTAGGCTACTCATTCAAATGCCCATGTTGGGGCCATTGTCGCTGCATCATTGCCGAATTCGCCAGCAACATCACACCGTCGCCAGGCGTGTGGCAACGGAACTCTGATGGAACTCTGTACAAAGAAGAGAAGCAACCAACGACAGCGGGCAACTACTGTTTGGAACCTGCTTCGATCTGGGCCCAGCCTCATTAACTCTAAGGGCGTGAAGCTATTTGATTATGTAATTACCCAAGACCTCTCGTTTACCAGGGGAGAACTGGAAGCCACTACCAAGAGTCTTTGCTGTCGGGCTCAGTGTTGCAGGCCTGAGGTGGGCGAGTGGGCCCAGTACATACAACGAGCAACACAGGTACTTGTGTGCAACTCGAGTCAAGCCGAAACCCCGCAAGGGGAGCCTCATGGAACTTGCAAACTCCTCCCCTGTATCTTCCGTAACCACTCTACACAGAAGCGTAAATGCCTGTGCCTTGAAGGCCCTGGAGTCCTAGCCCCCGAAACCTCCCTGAACTCTCTTAGCCCCCTTTCTGGGATGCCAGGCGGACGCTGACCTCCGCATGGAAGAACCTCCTCAGGCCCTTCAGAGTCAGGCCTTGAGCTGCCATAAACTGATGGAGGGATGCCCTTTAAACCCTAAACCCTAAACTCCCCTTGTCTACGGCCCCTTTTGTAATCCTGACCGCTTGCAGTTTCAGTTTTGTTGGGCCTCAGGGCGTTAGAGCCTTCGCCTCCTCGGGGTTTCTGATTTCTGAGGTCTAGGTAGCAAGTCGCAAGTATGTTTAGAATGCCGCATCTATTTCGTTCAGTGCCGAACATAAGGCCATTTAAAGGGGCCTCAAACTCCGAGAATGGCGGAAGCCTGCAGATCTCAGACGGAAAGACTGGAATCCCGTGCAGCGCATACCTCGCGCCAATCGCAATCGAAGGGTCAGGGAATGCAGTTGCAAGCATCGATCCTCCAATGCACGTGAATCGGAAGCGCCATCTGCACCCGCAACCAACCGGCAGGACATCAATGCCCAAAGCTGATGCAGGGGGCGCTATTCTGACAACAGTGGCTCATGATGCGCTTGCAAGACGGCTGCAGATGGAGATGCCAAGAGAGGACCCGGACAAAAACATAGTCTTGATACGAAAGCCCTCAGCCCTCTCTGTGTCCCGGCGATACGTGGCATTGGGGTCCAGTGCGCGGCGCCACGCTCGAACCTGCATCGAATTCCTAACGGGAAACCGCGATCCAGCACTCATGTGCCGTGCGGAAATAGTTTCGTGTTGCGAATGTGTGCAATACTTCAGCTTTGAGAACACCTGACTCAACCGCAAAGCCACGATCCATAGATTAACATTCGGACCTCGTTGCCGTAGGCTTTTCGCAGGTACAGTGTGAACTCCGTCCTCGCCTGGTAAGCAGGCAAAAACAAGCTGACATCAGCTTGTCCTACGGTATGAAGTCTCCTCTCACCTGCACGGCGAGCAAGACAACTTCGAAGGCTTAGGCTAAGTCTCTCAGGGAGGATTTGGCCTTTCGGAGACGAAGCTCCATGCTGTTCCATGCAGCGATTGACCCTTTAAGCACAATCCCGGCATGCTCTTGCCACTGATGCAGTGCACCTCCTCTGCACGCTTCTCTGCTGCCATCTGCCAATCGTGTTGTCGCTCACAGACAATCTGGCAGGGCAACATGAGCTGCTTCCCGACTTCGGAATGCGGGAAGTTGATCCAGGCTTTGATTGATGCAATGCAACTTTCTGGGAGTTCGTATCCCTGCAGAACCGATGATGAGATAAGACTTTCTCCGGTTTGTGTTGGACATGCCCCTGGTGCTATTGCTGGGCTTGCCAGACGAAAGAGCGGACATGGCAGAAGGTCTCGCGTCGACAGGGGGAGGGTGCGCAGACAAGATTTCATGCGTAGCGGAAGAAGACCGATACAACTATGTTGTTTCTGCTAACTACGATCCCTTCTACGGCGCCGGCTTTACCAACTGGGTTTTGGCTTAATGGTGGGCGACATACCAACTCCGAAATCCGAATTAGATGCAGATGTCTTCCCATCAGCGGAGTTTCGGACCCAGCTCGCCTTTGGAAGATGCTCGAAGTCAATGGCCTGCCAGGGCCTTCGGACTCTGGACAAGGTTTGGCTCTTGGAGCGTGTTCAGGCCGGGGGGCGGGCATCGTCAAGCCTTTCTGTTCTTGATGGCTGAGTGCTGCAAGCACTATATAGAGTCATAGAGTCACTACAGTGACTAACGATTGAAGGGCCCGAATCTTCCGGGTCCCAGAACCCGAGGGTCGAGAGCTTAGGGGTCCAGGACTTCTCTTGTTCCGGTGCCGATCATGTACGCACGTGCGCCGAAGCTATTTGGGACCTCGCTCTGTGCTGGTGCTTGTGGCTGCGTGAGACGGAGAGAACACCGGAAACTAGCGCTTGTAGCAGGGAGGACACCTGCTTCTTTGCTGCTATTTGTCTTCTTGTTCGGATCATGGCATGTGAACAGATTGGTCTTGTCGGACGCGGCGGGAGGGCAGAGATGGAGAAGAAGAGCGCGAGAGCGAGAATCCCGACACCTTTTAAATGTCCTGAATCCCTAGAACCTAGAGCCCAATCCCAGTGAGAATAACGAGCTCAAGGAAACGGGAAAGGAGGCAACGCTAGATGAGACAGTGCTCCCGCCTCGGAGCGCGCCGATGCTTTGCCGACACATGCCGGGCTTTCTCCTGCTGATGAAATGTTGTGTACAGCATCTTGAAATCGCATAAGTGTGGTCTGACATCCTAAGCTGATGGACGTCAGAAGTTGCGCCCAAACAAAACGCAAACGGAAACACATTGAATCTGCTCGCATTATTGTAGTGTGGCTTGGGAGCAGTCCTCCTGGAAGACCTCTGCCATGAAGTGCTGCTTCTGCTCCTGACGCGCTCACTGCGTGTTGGCCTTCACGTGGCGGTTTTCTGCGTCGTCGAATGGTCTCTCCTCTTGGTCGAGGCTCTTGAGCTCTCTGCCGCATGGCTGAGACAAGTACAACCCCTGTGCCCTCATGTGGCCGGGCCGGTCCCGCTGGCCCATACGCAGAATTCTGAGCCGCTGCTCCTGGTCGGGCATTCGCTGGGAGTTCGCACTTTATATGGTATTCCTTCGTGCCAAGACAAGATCCCACGGCTCAGCCTCATGTTTCCTTTTATCTCGGAAACTGGTAGTCCTGCTTCATGCAGATCTTTGGTATTTCGAGGGAACTGCTGGGAACACCGGTGTTTGAAAGTGATCCCAAGGTTAGAGCAGACCTCAGAAACGCATGGTCTCTGATTGCCGACTGAAACTTAAGATTTCCATTAATTCCTACGCTTTACGCCTACAAGCACACAGACAAGCATCCATAAGCTATGGCAGCTAGGCCCGTGAACAACAAAGCACTAAGCTCCAGCCAACTCTCAACCATTCATAGTCATATAGGATCATATAGGGGCCTTAATCATTAGCATAGGGTTTTGGGGCCTACTTTACTGCCATTATAATAAGGAGCCCCCAAAATACTGTCCTCCTGCTCCTTGACCTGTGGATCAGGCTCCAGGAACCTCAGATGGCAGAACTCCGGTCTTAGCAGCCTGGCACTGAATGATTTGCAGGGCTTTGGGGGCTGGTTTGGGGGGGGGGGG